AAAAAAAAAGATAAATTGGAGGCCGGACAAGGTGGCTCACATCTGTAATCCTAGCATTCTGGGAGGCTGTGGCAGGTGGATTGCCTGAGCTCACAGGTTTGAGACCAGCCTGAGCCAGACCGAGACCTCATCCCTAAAAATAGCTAGGAATGGGTGCCCGTAGTCCCAGCTACTTAGGAGGCTAAGCCAAGAGAATCGCTTGAGCCCAAGAGTTTTGTTTTGTTTTTTAAGAGACAGCCTTACTTTGTGGCTCTTCGAAGAGTACAGTGGCATCACAGCTCACAGCAACCTCCAGCTCTTGGGCTTATCAGATTCTCTTGCCTCAGGTTCCCGAGTAGCTGGGACTATAGGCACCCGCCACCACACCTAGCTACTTTTTTGTAGCAGTTTGACCGAGGCTGGGTTTAAACTTGCCACCCTTAGTCTATGGGGCTGGTGCCCTACTCACTGAGCCACAGGCACTTCCCTGAGCCCAAGAGTTTGAGGTTTCTGTGAGCTGTGAAGCCACAGCACTCTACTGAGGGTGACATAGTGAAAATCTGTCTCAAAAAAAAAAAAAAAAGAAAAAGAAAACAAATGAAGCTGCCTGTGGTGGCTCACACCTACAGTCCCAGCACTTGGGAGGCCAAGGTGGATGGATTGCCTGAACCCACAGGTTCCAGACAACCCTGAGCCAGAGCAAGACCCCATCTCTAAATAAATAGCTGGGTGTTGTGACAGGCCCCGGCAGTCCCAGCTACTCAGGAGGCTGAGGCAAGAGGATCACTTGAACCCAAGAGTTTGAGGTTGCTGAGCTAAGATGCTACAGCACTCTATCAAGGGTGACTCTTGTCTCAAAAAAAAAAAAAAAAGAAAGAAAGAAAGAAAAGAAAAGAAATGATCACATTAGAAAATGAGCAAAATATTTGAACAGACACTTCAGTAAAAAAGGATATGCAGATGGCAAATAAGCCCATGAAAATATGTTCAACTTCATTAGTCATTAAGGAAATGCAAATTAAAGCCACACTGAGATAATCACCTCAACGATTATAGGTCATGGAAGGATATTGAAGGCTTATGACAAAGGAACAGTGGACTCACTTGGTCTTAGAAAGGTCTCTCTGGCTGTACCGTAAAGGATGGACTCAAGGCCCAGCTGAAGGCTGTTCCAGTGGTCTGGGCAAAGGAAGATAAAAGCCTAACCTAAGGGGGCTCGCCACCTGTAGCACAGTGGTTACGGCAGCAGCTGCATGCACCAAGGTTGGCGGGTTTGAACCCAGCCCAGGCCTGCTAAACAACAATGACAACTGCAACCAAAAAATAGCCAGGCGTTGTGGCAGGCATCTGTAGTCCCAGCTACTTGGGAGGCTGAGGCAAGAGAAGCGCTTAAGCCCAGTAGTTTGAGGTTGCTGTGAACTAGGACA